CCCCAAAACCCCAAAACCCCAAAACCCCAAAACCCCATTATACAAAAACAAATTTGAAGATTAAATACTTTAATAATAATGGAGACAAGTGAAGGCTTTCTTAGAACCACAGAAAGTCAATATGATAATGCTCTTTCATCAATTCGGGTAAGCCCAATCCCTAAAATCTTCCCTCCATCCCATCCTTATCTTATCTCTTTCTAGACGCCTGGATTCCGGAACAGAAACCACCCCCCAATCCCTAAAGAACCTGAAGGACTCCTTCAAATGCCCCTCGCTCGTAAAAGCGAAGCCTTAGTCCTCGGCCAAAATGAGTAAGCTCCCACTTACAACCCTCCCCTCCCAAAATTCCACTTCCTTACCAAAAATCCCAATTTCTTAAAATCCTAATATTTCTCCTTAATTCTCTTATTCCCTCGTGCAGGAGGTAGATAAAAACTTATATTGTTATTTACTCTGCAGAGATTTGAACGCTCAAGAATTAATAGTCGTAGTTTAGTAACTCTCAGCCCAGATTCCCGCAAGAAGAGGCAGACAGTAGTGAGCCAATTCGAGTCAGACTCCGAAGCTTCACGGGCTGAAGAGCCAAGAAATAATGGTAAGTCAAAGCTTGTATGGAGCCAAGCCTAAGGGATCTTGGGTCTTTGGAATTTTGGGGTTTTTGGAATGCATGAAAGGAATATGAAGCAAGGCCATTTTTGGAGCAGCGCTTGTAAAGAAGCCGGGGTTTAGGGGATTTTGAAAGATAATTGGGCTTTTGGCTGGGCTGTGCTTTAGATAAGGCGGTTTCTTGTAATTGAGGTCATGATAAAATAAAAATTTATCTACTTCCCTGAACAAAAGGGTTGACCTTAAAACTAGTCAAACTAATGTTTCAATCTTAGAGCTTAGATTCGTACCTAAAGAGATAGGCTTTTATTCCAAGTTGAAGTGACCTCTTTTCGTTTAAAAAGTACCTGTCCAGATCTCTCTGTAACGAATATATAGTAAGCGGTCGAAGGAATGGGTTCTTAGAAAAATTGAAGAGTTCTTCAAAATAATATTGGGAACTTTAAAGGAAGTTCAAAACTCTTGAATTCCAGAGGCTCCAATCTCCTAATACCAAAGACTAAGGACTCCAGTAAATTATTAACAGGATTCAAGAAGAATGATGTTGCTAGTGAAACTGTTTCGAATTTTTCAGACAACAGTGAAAGCGAAGGGACTAACCCAATTATTGTTGGTAAGCGTAAACGAAAGAGGTTCTTCTGTGCTGCTAGAAATCAAAATAGAATCAGATGGGACCTCTTCATCATGCTCCTAGCAACTTGGAACTTGTTCTACATTCCATACTCAGTATCCTTTGAAGCTTATCTGATTAACGAATTGGTGACAAACATTACCAATTGGCTTATCGACTTTTGCTTTATCCTAGATATTTTTATTCACTTCAGGACTTCCGTCCTAGATCCCAAAACAGGAGAGGATATTTATGACTGAAAGATCATTGCTGCTAAGTATTTTCAGGGAAAGTTTTGGATTGATTTACTTGCATCTATCCCATTCGACTTCATCACGATTTTCTTCTCAGGAGTTGACAGCGGGTCTCTGACGTTCCAACTATTTGGGTTATTGAAATTAGTCAGAGTTCTCAGACTATCCAGGTTAATTACTTATATGAACCTCCAAGATGAACTGAAAATGTCTCTAAAGCTAATTAAATTGTTTTTCTTCCTCGTCATGTACATTCACTGAGTTGGATGAATCTGGTTTTTCATTGTCAAGCAAAATGAAAAATGGATGCCTCCATTAGATTATGTATGGGTTGGCACAAATATTTACAGTGAAGATCCTTTCTTGCAGTATTGAAGCTCTATTTATCACTCAATGCTTATACTTGGAGGAAATGATCTTGGCCCAAGAGGTACCTTCCAGTTAATCTTCATAAGCACCGTCCTCTTCGGAGGTGCTATCATCAATGCTAATATCTTTGGTAATATGGCTGTGATCTTACAACAACTGAATAAAAAAGCTTCAAAGTTTCAAGAAAAAGTTGAAAATGCGAATGCCTCAATGAAAAACCTATCTATTCCTGAAAACATCAAAGAAGCCGTGCACAGATATCTTGATTACACCAAAACCACAAGTGATCACCAAGAAGAAATTAACAAATTTCTGTCATTAATATCACCATCATTGAAAGAATTAGTAGTAAAGCATATCTCTTTGCAAGGGATTTCTAAAAACCAAATTTTCAAGAGCAGGCCTAATATCTTTGACCAGATCTTACCTGAGCTAAATACTCTTCTCTACACACCTGAAGACATCATCGTGAGGCAGGGAGAAGCTCCTGACATGATTTACTTCATCTCCAAAGGAGAGTGAGAAATATACGTCACCGACCAATCCAACCACGAATGTCATGTAAGTTAAAATAATTTTACACTCTAGGTCAAAAACCTAAAAGTCGGGGAGTATTTCGGAGAAGTAGCAATTTTAAAATAACTGCAAAAGAACTGCCACAGTGAAGTCAAAGAACTTCTCCACGTTCACAGGCCTCAATAAGAAAGCATTCGTCAATGTACTTGAAAGATATCCTGATATTCGAAATGATATGAACAAACACATGACTCTGAACTATAATGATAAGTGGAAGAAGTTCTGTAAGATAGCTCTCTCCAATATTGACTTCCTACAACATGATCTCCCAGAGAGCATCATTGACGAAATATTCTACCGTTTAGAACTTTTAGATGTGAACCAAGGGAAATACTTGTTTAAGGATGGTAAAACCTGCCATAATATACATATAATTGTCAGTGGAGAAGGAGAGATTAGTATTAAAAATGTCGATGGTGAAGAAACCTACCTCGACACACTTTATAGGGGATGTACAGTTGGCACATATAGCATCATGACTGGAGATCCCTACTCTTTTAGCTTCAAAGCTAAAACAGATTGAGTCCTTTTGACTTTGTCTGATTCCAGTCTTGAAGACCTCAGAGAAAAATTTGAAGATCTGAATCTTATTATGTCAGAATACGAACAATATATTGAAGAGGAAGGACTTCCATACTGTGATTACAAGTTCTACAGGTCAGGTCATTCCCAAATGACTCCATTGAAAAAGTTTCAACTAGGTATAAAGAGAATAATGAGAATTGTGGTACCGCCAAAACGCCTAAAATATAGAAATCATACAAGTCAAATAAGCTTATTAATATTCTCCAGTGTATCCAATCAAAGAATAAAGAGAACCTGAAACTCCAGCAGAACAAATAAGGAGGAGATCTTACTCAGGAAGCAGTCTATCCGGTCAAATCAGACTTTAAAATCAGACCAGAAGCAGGAGAAGAAACTAACTCTTCTCTCTTCCAAGATCAACATACTTATGAGGATAGTTGACGAGCAGACAAAAATGATGCATGAGATGCGAAACGACCTAAAGACTCATATGGGTCTCGAGAAAGTTGAGCTAGATTCTGCCGCTAAGCTATCAAGTAGCAGTTCTGACTTTAATTCTGACAGCTCAATGCCTTCTCAATTGAATATTAGTAAGCTAAGGAGACCTCCTGGTGAACAAAGTTCCAATCATAGAAGACTCTCTGCATTTTCAAATGTAAGAATATGATAGATAACTTTCGATAGAAATAGCCACATTGTCAATTCAGACAAGAAGAAAAATAGAAAGAAATCTGTCATGATAGTTGAACCTCAAGATAACAATAAGAAAAGAGGGAGCAAATTTACGCCTCATAACTTAAAACCAATCATCAATGTAGAAGCAGCCGATTCTGGATCTAATAGTAATAAAACCATTCAGAATAAATAACGCGAAGAATAAATTAGCAACGGATTCACCTTCAAACAAAGATTTTAGTGTAAAAATTTTGGGTCTAAATGAGATTGCTCAAAGCCAAGATAAGAGCCCGACAATCCCTGAACTTTCTGAATTTGCTAGCCATACAAACACGTCTAACCTAGTTGAGAACTTATTGAAGAGTAGCAAAGAAAACCCAATAGATATTTAACCCCAGCGCGTCTCCTACTTTTATGAAGAAGAAAGATGACAATGAGCTCCCAGAAACTAACTCGAATGGAAAGATTGATGAGATGATATCACAGGAGAACCAGAATTCAGACCAAGAATCATCAAATTTCAAACCCAAGAAGGATAATTCCCAGACAGAAGGACAGCAGATATCGTAAGCCTTGAGTTTATCATTAAAATTTAGCTTCAACAATACTTTAATAAAAGAGATTGAAAAGAACGGCATGAAAAGACTCAGTTTCCAGACAAATTTTGAGATAGAAAACGTACTAAAAGAGTGCAGTAGCCACAACTCGGTGTCAGATATATCATTTGACAACACCAATAAGTTCTAAAATTAGCTTCAATTAGCTTTGACACCTGCGGGGTTTTGGGGTTTTGGGGTTTTGGGGTTTTGGGG